CTATAAAAACTGCGGGGAACTATGCAAAAAACGTGTCTTCGCAAGGGCACCCCATGCGTTGGCCAATTATTGTCAAGTGCTGCGTGCTTCATAGTGACAGCGAGCATCTTTTCACCAAATTTGTCCCGTCTGCTCCCTTTGCTCGCGCTCATCCCCTCTCTTTCATGTTCATTTAACGCGTAAACCGTCAGCTGTCACTAACGTATCATTAAATATCACATTCAGTGATTGGCGACGGTTTCCTTTTTCCTCCCGTCGTTTTCTCTTCCTTTTTAACTCGCTTTCTTTCATTCTCTCTTCATTTTATCCATTTGGAAGGTGCTGAAGTGTCTGTGCTAGGGGAAAAACGCGAGAAGTTTGCAGGCGAAAGGAGTACAAAATTTGGTCATTGAGGCCGCTGGACCAGAATTTCACGAAGAGAGCATGAAAAAAACTAAGGAGGGGGCAAAACAAAATACTATCAGTGATCTCACTAATGTACTTGTTAAAGAATCTGTTGAGATTAGCTGTGATTTAATTCTGGATCATTTTATATTACTTACAACTGATTTCGCGGTTCCATGTTTGTTTTTTTTAGATCTCCATGGTCCAATACGTACGATCCTCCGCTGGACGATGGGGCGTTGCCGTCCGATAAGCTACGTAATCTTGAAATTGAAATGAACGCTGCACTTGAAGCCTACAGAGATGCGTACGTTTATCATTTGATATAACTGGATGATAAAATTGGCCTGGATTAATCCCTAAATACTGAACTGCCTGGATAATCGTTTTGGAGCTTATTAGGATATGCAGCTCCATGCATATATATATACGTACATATATATATATATATATATCCCAGACTCATTTTTCTTGAGGTGTCTGTCTACAGTGAATGCACATTGATATTCTTGCGCACACTCCGCAGTTCCTCACTGACTGTCTTTAATTTAGTGCAGAATAACAGATTCCGCTGATTAATTTATCGCTGTTCACTGATTTATCGCTCAATACCACCCACTGCACTGTTATGACAGTAGCTGTACGAATTGACATAGTATTAATTAGCCAGAAAAGTACAGCTGTGGGAAAATTACCCTGTCGCCGTCTCTGTGGCGCGGCACGTGCGAAACTTCAGGCACTCTTATTTGAATTACCCTTTTTTTCACGAGCTGATCGCGAGTAACAACAGGACAAACTACGATGCGGCAGTGCCCAGTGGTAGTAGGGAGAACTGCCTGAGGCGTTTCATTTGTTTGAAAAAAAGGAAAAAGCTTGTAGCCGTCACATTCCTCATCGCCCAGGTTGATTCGTATTGTAGGATTCAGCTGCGAAAAATTTACTCTGAGGGCGTGCGCACCATTTTGAGATTGAATTTTTTTTCCCTGGTCTCAGTTTCCCATTCCTTTCTATATGAGACACGCTTTTTCAGATATTTTGAAGGTGGTGTATCTTCAGTTTATTTTTGGGATCTGGATTATGGCTTTGCTGGCGTTGTCCTTATCAAAAAAATTGGTGACGGCCTGCGTAATATCGAGGGCTGCTGGGACTCCATACATGTTATTGAAATACAGGAAAAAGTGAGTGTTCTGTGCTCTTTAAACTGCCTTTCTTCATCTTTTTATGAATAAAATCCCCTCGTTTTTGCACTTTTTTTGGATTTGCAGTACCAATGTGAGGAGGGCTTTTTCTGGACCATGCTGCACTGGAGCGCGAAGAAAGTGTGTGAAGCGTAACACTGTTGTTCGACACATGGATTTAACCTTAAATTGAGATTATTGCTGGAAAGAGATGATGAAAGGCAGCAGCCTGTTTCAGCCATTTTCAGCAGATAATGAAGTAATTCTGGAATGAAAGTGTCATCCTCTGCCGTGTTAGCATGTGCTCTTGAAAAAATCCTCTTACTGAGGCATTTTTCATTATGCGTTTTTACCGTCCACTGCTAGAGCGCCGCAAACGCATATTTGCGACGACTCTATATATACATATATGTATACGTATGCACATATATGCATATATGTGTACATATATATACGTATATATAAATGTACATATAAATATACATATATATATATATATATATA